GCTGGCAATCTAAACATAAATCTGCAAGAATTAACATAGGTAATATCACGGAAAGGTTGGGAGAAGGAAGTGTAGACTAGAAACCTTACTTCCCTTTTTTATCCATCTCAGACCAGACAAATATGAATGTACAATGAAGCTACAGATTTTTTTTAATGCAGGAACTGAAAATGCAGTATCAGCACACAACTGTGTTTGACATCTGATTTGAAGAAAAAGAAAAGAAACTTACTGGAAAATGGTCATGTGAACACTTTTGACTGAAGTTTAGTTGGCATCAGTACAAAATAAGATGCAGCCTTCAGCACTTGAAAAAGCCAACTAAGGGACTAATATGGCAGAAATTACAACTATCCTGTCCTTCAACCCACAAGGAATGCCTTTCTGTTCAACAATGAAACTACTGAATGATCCCTCTGCTACAGGGAGTCACTAAAATAGGGTGTAAAGGAATGGAATTTCTAGTGGAGATTTATTGCAAACTATCTTTAAAACCAGCAACACATCACTGTTTGATCAGTTTACAACAGATGCTCTTAAGTACCCTTTGACAGTAATTGTTCAGCTTTCATCAGCTGTCCAAGCAGATGAGCATGGAACTTCCACTTCTCTGTATTAACAATCTTTCAAGCATTCTGGAAAATACTCCCTGTCGCTCCTGATATTTTGTGAAGTAATGAAAATGCAGTGCATTGGCTCTAGGACATTCAAATAATGGGACTGCTGCCTATTCACACTTTATGTTCTCTCTCACATATTAAATATATTACTGCATGATGCCACACAGAATTTAAAAGATAAGAAATAAGGAATGGACTTGTCCCATCATTAGCCAATAGAATCAGCATATCTATTCTCTCTTCTTCTACCACATGCCAGGTCAAAAGCAAGTACTAGCACACTCTACACTCAGACAGGGGTCATCTGGCAGAAAGACCAACAGGCAAAAATCTTTCAGGAGCACATTAGTTTCTCAGGAAGAGTATCTAGTAGCCTCAAGTGAATACAGAGTGATCCCAATTACAGTAAGGAACCAAATATAAGCAGAATTCTAAAGAGATCATCAAAATATATTTTGTACAATTCATAAAATAGCTAAATTAATGCTGATAAGGTTGGAATTCACAAATATTGTCTCTTAAGTATAATACCATTTTTAACAACATTCAGAATATACACAGGAAATAAGCTGGATGGGATATCTTCACCTGTGACCAGTGTATGGTTGTCAGTCCATCAGGACATGTTTGCAGCCTCCACATACTCCTGAGTCCAGCCCTGTACTTGGAAGCACAAGTAGCACAACTGCGGGGACACATGTTATCAGTTACATCTAATATGGAGGCTGCACCTCTTCTCAGAAAGAGGGAAATCCCAGTATTCTCTTGCATGCCATTGTAATCGCTGGCTGTAGTTATGTATACTGCTCTGTTTGCCATCTGAGAAGTTTCATGAGCATCAACTGAAAAAATGCTATGGTCAACCCCTTTATAAAAATGAAAAGAGTTAAGAGTATATATTAACCTATCTTGCAGCTACCATACTGTTTACCAGTTTCCTAACCCAATTCAAATACTCCTTTTAGCTCTCTGAAATTCTTTGTGCCTTGTGCATAAGAAGTTGGTGGGGGAAGGAAAGACAAAGTGAACAAACTTCCAGGTACACAGAAAAAGCATTTATTTCAACCTTGCATATTTTGCAATGAATCCTTCTTCAAGAGCACTTCTGAATAACAATTCTCTACTGGGACTAAAGCCACTGTTACATGGAGGCTGAGAACTGTCTTGTCTTTGATATGTCCCTCTGTCAATTAATATTTCTTTTGCTGCCTGTTTCCTATTCCATCATTCTGAGAGATGAAGACCACCTCAGCAAGGAGGAGGTCTTTGTCTGTAGTTGCCACAGTCTTAGAAGAACAGTCTCAGCTGAAGCTTGGCAGAACAATGCATGCCTTTGATGTCTTTTAGAAAGGGTTACAAAACCTACTTCTTCAGAAAAGCATTTAAAAAACTATATATAGGGAATTTGCATTACAAGCTGATGTGGCAAATTTGGTTTTATGTCTTCTGTTTCTTCTTCTTTAAACAGAAAGCTGATTTCTAGTTTTAATTATTGTGAGCCACCTCAAATACAGGCAAGGCTGGAAAAATATTTTAAATTGCGTACAAGGGTAAGTGCTTAATTCAAATGCCTGAACTGCCTGATTCAGTTTGGGAAAAGTACAAAGCACACTACCTACACAAAACCAAAAAAGTCTCTTTGCCATTTAATAAGACAGATGAGAAAATTCTGATCTCATAGCTCAGCATCATTGCACAGTGCTACAGGCATGCCCAAATTCAAAACATATCATACTTAAGTCTAAGACACTTACAAGCTAGTGTTCAACTATTTACACAGTTTTTAGTAAAAGATTAAGTATCTTCATTCACTTTTGGAGCCATGCCATAAGGTTACTAATGAGCATACAGCTAATGGATGTAGTTCAAATTATACTCAATCAAGTGGAGAATGTATGAGTATACTGCAGTAATGGTACTATGACATCATAGGCAAGTTATCTTCTGAAAATGAAACAGGAATCAGACAGCGTACACCTTTCCTTCTACTCAAAGTACAAGACATGGTGTTATTAATCATTTAAGTACTTCTAGTTGCTGCTGCTGTTATTGTTATTGCAACAGAAACTCACTATTTCTGAATGCATTCAAAGAATATGATCATTCTATCTGATAACACCCCAATTGCAATTTCACCAGTAGTTTAAATATTCATGTAAGGAAGACAAGCACATTGAAGCAGGATGTATTCATCAATTTTCCCGCTGTGGTCCATATCAGAAGTAAAACAAAAATCTAGACAGATTGCTTTAGATGGTCAATGTACTAATTTTTATTACTCATTCTTTATGCCATTTTGTGTTTTCCAATATTTATGAACATCTATTGACTAGTTTATAGAACAGATTATTAAGCACAATCTATGTAGTAGATGTATCTAAATTTTTCAGTTAACTGATGGTACATTAGCCATTTGAAAATCTCTCTCTTTGTACTAGCTTAAAGTCTAATTTTTATTACATTACCCAGGTCTGGTATGGAAACACACACACACACAGCACTTGAATATTTCTTTCTGTAATGCCACTACAATGAACTTAAGATTCCATTGAGACATGGAGACAACCAATTTCAGTCTTTCCCTGACCATAAGCTCATTGGGTGGATTGGTCAGCATCCCTGGGCTGAACTTACCTTCAACAGCCATTTGTGAGCCAAGGCATGAACCTAGATTATCAAACTCCAAATCCATGCAACACAAAATTAAAAGGGACTTCAATGTGCTGTTTTCAGGAAAGCATTCAGCTGTCTTCAACTAAACAACTTTGACCGTATACCTAACACTGTAATGTCCAACTATTAGAAGCAGACATCATATTAAACTGGAACTTGAAAAGAACCCCGTTTTTCAGTGCACAATGTCTATGTTGCTAGTACTAGAAACCATTATCTATAAAATATAAACATGTAAAATAGGATCTCTGCATATTAGTCCCTTTCCTTCAAAGGAATACAATGTATCATTTCTAACATTACAGACATTTCCATCTTCTAACCTTAAATCACTGAATACATAGTTCTTACACTTTATTGGGAAGGAATATGAGCAAATTATAGTCATCAACGAATTCTTCAAGGTAACAATATGTATGATTCATTCTTCCATGAGGATGACAGAAAGTCAGTGCTGAAAGGGTGAATGGAAGCAAGAGTATGACATTCACTGTCCTCCCTGCTTTTTTTTTTTTTTGCACTTCAAACAAAGTATCCAATGATTATCTTCTTAGCCATTAACCAATTTACTGTATAATGGAGTAGCAATATCTAAAGCTAGGAGAGTGGGGATTTTACAAAGTCATCTTCCAAGAGCCTTGTCTGGCCACCCCATTGTTAAAAAGAAACATTATTCCTTCTATCATGTATTTATTTTCTCTGATTTACCTTTGGAGGCCTGTTACGACAGAAATATGGGATATAAATATTTTACACTAAATAAATAATGCCGCCTTTGGATAGGTTCTTACAGAACTATGCATATTTTTATTCTGCTATTGGTAAGCTTCTGTAAGAACTTTTCAGGATCAGGGCCTTTATCTGTAATTACACAAACCACATACCATACAAAGGTCAAGTACACAGTGCTCAATCTATCCACGTTCACCTGAAACTTCTCCAGGTTTTTATTAAGTTTCTACTAAATAATTTCTCATTCATCAAAATATGAAAAAAGAAAATGAAGCCTATACACCTACAGGTATAATCCAGTGCCAGAATAAGACAATCATTATTTCTAAGGAAACTAAATTGACCAAACTGGTTCTGAACCTTCTTGCAGTGATATACAGAATTTCAGGAGGCAGTTGCCCGATACAGTTTTAACAAAAGCAACACTTCAGAGCTGACTGTGACATAAGCTTTCCCCGAATAAAGTCTGCTTTGCATGATACATTTAGCATCATCACTTTGCATGTACATGCACAGCATAACATCATTCTATATAATGAAGCTAGAAGTATATAAATTGCACAGGGAAGCTGTATAAAATTTCAACGCAGAGCCAATGTACATAACATAACAACAGTGAACTATTCTTAGCAGCACTCTCTGGTGGTAGTGCTGTCTTTCTGGTTATGCAGGCAAAAGAACAGGCAGTGGCAAATTCAGAAAGGGAAGACAAGATTTCTATATGGGAAAGAACTAACAATTGGTCTGTAACATGAACCATCACAACATGCTACTATAATTCATCAGCCTGCCTTCTAGCTAAACAGTCAAAATATCAAAAAGTGCTTCTGCATAAACTGGATAGAGCAGCTACATTTGGAGATGGGGAGATACACAGCCTTACAAAGTGAGTGTTGGAGTTTCCAGCGAAAAAGGGGCAATCATATCAGCGCAAGCCTCAAGAGGGCAATCTCTCCTCCTTTGTGCACCACTTACCTTAAGGATATCCCCGCGTTTGAAGCTGAGCTCATCGTCTGCAGTGGCTTTGAAATCGTATTTGGCGACGGCTTCCATGCTCGGGCCGCTCGTGGACGGCAATGGTGGGGCTGGGTAGGAAAGGCGCTCTCCCTGAAACCTTCTCCGGGGACTCCCGGTTCAGCCCTCGCTCTTGTCCGCGCTGCCCTTTCTGCTCGCCTTCTGGCTCCGTCCTTCGCATAGACAGCGAGGGCCAATCCGCCCTAGGAGGGGAAGAAAAGACGGAGCATTGAGGGAAGCAGCCCGGATCAATGACAGGGACCGCGCCCAGAGCCTCTCCCTCCTCTCCGCTCAACTCCGCGCTGCCGCTTCCTCTTTCCGCAGCCTCTCCTTCGGCCCCGGGCGCAGTCAGGAAGCGCCGAGTGGCGTCTGCCGCGGCCAATGGGAGCGCGAAGGGGAAGACATGGTGCCGACCCCCCGCCTCATTCAACAGCCGGCGAAGGGGATAAAGCAGCAGACCGGCCCCCAGCCAGCCTTCCTCTAGCGCGGCGGCTGCTCGGCGCTCCCTCCCCCCCAGTCCCCTCCCCTCCCCGGCAACACACACACACCCCGCGCGCGCGGCTTCTGTGCTCCGCTCCAGGGCAGGAGGCACAACGTGTTGTTCCTTCTACGGCAGGGAAATCCCTTCCCTGTATAAACCGACTCCCCCTGTAAGTCAAAGATCGGGAGTTCTAATGGGACCCTACCGGAGAGGAGAGGAGAGGAGAGGAGAGGAGAGGAGAGGAGAGGCTCTTCCTTTCCCTGGGAAACAGTGAAAGCACGTTTGAGGTGACCTCCCCGTCCCAAAGAAGCTCTAACCACCGATCGGTGCAGTTTCTCGATTTAAAAACAACAACGTGACACTTCGGATCGTCTTAGTAAGGGCTGAGGCTGACCCCCTCCGCCGATTTCTACCGTGCCGGGGCGTGGCATTTCTCTCTACTATCGAGGATAAGGACGCATCCTAAACACGAATACTTAGAATGTGGGTTCCTCTGGGAAAAACTGCTCTTCCTTCCGATTTCTGAGCTACCACAGGCCCTCTCTGAAACTATACCTAGTAAACTGTGGGTTGACAAGTTTTCAAAAAAGCTTCCTTTAAAATGAAGGCAAATCACTCGTCTTGCTATCAGCTCAACCTAGGTCCTGAAAATTAATTTTGCTTGCTACTCACAGGAGAGTAGCAAGTCATTTTTACATACCATCCCCTCAAGAAATAGAACAGCTGTGTCAGAAATGCCCTTCAAACAGGTGCCTATTCTATACAATAAAATCTTTTCAAAATAGAAGAAACTGGAGGTGGAATCGCCTGATATTTTAAGAGCAAAGAATGTCAGCAGCTTAGTTAGATCTATCAGTTTGCCAGTAGTTTAGTTTGATCTGAAATTCAAAGTACAAGTAGACAGTTGTTGCTCATACCTTTTACTAAAAGTGAAAAGGTCAAACACCAGATTGTAAAGCAGTATTTTTTGTTAAGGAAGGATCTTCTTAATGCCAAACAGCAATGATATGTTAAGGCTTTGTACAAACCTCATATGATTTTCCATATTAACCTCGATTATAATTACTATCTTTCAGCGGTAAAAAGTATAAGGTTTTTAAAAGTGCAAATATTTCTTACAGAACAACATGCCCCCAAAAACCCACATTTAAATACACTACAATTTATATGCATATAAATGCACATATATATTATTAGTATAAATTATAAAGACACTGTAGATATTACATTTTAAGTGGAGAGGGAACACAACTCCTTTAAAGAAAAGACTTGAAAAGGTGGGGGCTATGGTATTGCAGGAAATGTATGCCCTTTGCAAAACTAAAAATACTATAAGAACTTTGAAACATAAACTTACCCACAATATGTGGGCATGAGTGGAAAAAAACCATACACTACATTAGCTGCAATTACCACCACCTACCACAGAAGCTTTGCTACCTAGAAGAAAAAGATTTTCCCGGCATTGTACCATTAAGTTTTGAATGCTGGAAAATAGCGATCTTGCTACTACTGAGAGGAAACACGTGTATGTTTTCAACAAGTTGTATGCATGTGCTGCTTCTTTCTCTTTCCACCCTGAAGTAGTTATCTGTGCAAGCCTACTTAGTCCAGCCCTTTCCATGTGGAACAAAGGCACAATATATTTAATGGTATTTACACCCATCCAAGTGTACACAGGATTATAGTATCCTAAAATTAAGTCTCATCAGTATGCTGCACAGTGGAAAAAATTGCCCTAACCACTGCTGATAAAGATATACTACTTTTTAAATTATTACTATTTCGGTAAGGGGCTTTTTACTAAAAAGGCAGTCAAAGTAATGCGCAGTCTATTTAAAACAAAACAATACAAATGTTTAAAAAACATCAAAATAGCTATGTTAAAAAGATAATATTAGTCTTTTTCTGAAAGTGAGAGCAGTAGGGGATATTCTGGAGGTGGGCATTCCGTAATTAGGGAGCAACCCAGGAAAAGCTGTTCACACGTGTCCAACAAACAGGTATCTACAGGCAATAGTGTCCTTAGAATTGTCCCTCCTTCCTATCTTAAAGACAGAACAAATTTATAATAAAACAGATGGTCCCTTAGATAACCAGATCATAAGTTGTTTAGGTCTTTAAAGGTTAAAACTAAGAGCTCAGAAAATAGGTGGAAAACACAGTGGGTTTTTCACTATTGAAATAATATTGTCTCAGGACTGTACACCAGTTAGCATGTTAGCTGTGGCATTTTGTACTAATTAATGTTTCCAGATGCTTTAAGGATAGCCTGATGTAGAATAAGTTGCAGTAGTCTAAACATGATGTAACCTAGACATGCCTAACTGTTGCCAAATCAGGATTATTCAGGAAAAATGGCTGCTGGCACACTAAATGCAATTGTACAAACTCAATCTTTGCCACTAAATGAAGACCCAGGGACAACATAAGTTCTAAGAACATGGCCAGTCCCAAGCTACAGACCTGATATTTAAGATGGGAGAACATCCCATTCCACGGCAGTTTGAAATCAGATGCAGACTTTCTATTGACCAATAACATCTCTGTCTTTACTAGATTTAACCCTAGCTTGTTTCCTTTATCCTGGCAAAAGCATCTCACAGTATGAAAGTGCTGTCTTTCTATTCTGAACAGATGCGCAGTGACCAAGAATTAAGCTTTCTTACATTCCCCAGCACAGCATAGTCACCTCCTTTGACAGTTAAAACATACAGGGAAATTGACCAGGCACTATCACATATACTGGACAGTCTGTAGAGCATACTCACAAAAGACCAACTTTTTAAAAAATTCAAAAATTACCAACAGAACTGCACACATGAAATATTTCTTCACAGCAGATAATGAGTTCAACTATTACAAGTTGTAGTGATAGACATCCATTTAGAAAGCTTTAAAAGGGGATTAGACAAATTCATGGAGGATAAAGGTCTCAGTGGATTGTAGGCCTGACAGCAATATAGTTCCTTCAGTATCAGAGTCAATATTCCTCCAAATACCTCTTGTAAGAGAATGAACACAAGCGAAATGACTGGTCACAGTGAAACAAATGCCAGATTAACAGGCATTTAGTCTGATCAGGCATGGCTCTTATAGGCTTAATTCAAGTTTTGTCACATATAGATGACCAAAAATATAAATGAAAGGAAGTAGATGGAACTGTGTAAGCAGCATTGTTAGCACAATTCCCTTTTCTATCTGTACAAATTATTTCATCCATTCCATTTTTTCTGAATGAATTGCAAGTAAAATTAAGATTATGCAACACAATAATCTTGGTGATAGCTTGGTGATGATGTACTTTTGCAGTTTCACAATGATTCAGTTTCTAACAGCAGAAATTATGTATTCATACTAAGCATGATAGTGCTTTTGAGCGATTCACATATGCAGGTTTATCATGTGATAACTAATTACACACTGACATATGTAAGTGTGAATAAGCAATCAGAGATCAACCCACCACAGGCAGGACTTTCATATCATCTCTGATAACACATTTCAAGAGAGTCAGTTGCACATCACAAGAGTACTTAACCAATAAGAAGCACTGACATATATGCGTGAGTAGACCAGCTCACCTAAGGTTAGTTGACAATATATTTGCATGTCCATTTTTAAGTGTTCTGACCTCAAGAACAAAACATATTTCAAAACTTCTGAGAGAGAAGAAATATAACAGCTAGTGACAGGGACTTAAATGAGGAAGCAATTCAGAGTTCTATGCCAAAAGGAACTTAAATGTAAAGATAAAAAATTCTCAGTAAATTATTATTTGCTATGCATACTACCACACTACCTATCATTTTTAACTCCTCTCACTTCCTTTTACAAATAAAGTACTGAAAGTAATATATATGTATGGATTAAACAGGAAAAAGAAAGAAAAAAAGACCATCAGGACATGAAACACCAGGCAAAATTACAAAAAGCAAGGGGAAAATCCAAAATGTCAAACTTACTGAATATTGATTTAGTAAACAAGATTAAAAAGATAACCTCTCATGTTTCATTTTGTTTTTTCAGACCAAGAAATAAGAATATAAGAGAACCATGCTGGTCCAGACCAAAGGCATATTTAATCTAGCATTCTTTCCTATAGTGACCAAATGGGGTAAGAAGCCCACATGCTGGACATGAGTGCAGTAGTACCTTCCTGCTCATGTTCCCTAGCCACCGATATTGCAAGGGCTACTGCTTCTGATACTGACCTTATCTTTCAGGCTTATTCCACAACCTATGCAAATTTATTGAGGAATAGGCAACTCTTAATAAGGTTTAACTTTTAATGTACATACTTAGACACATGCCTAAAGAAATCATAGGATAGTGTGACTTTATAAATCAGCACAAAAAGTAGTCTGAAAAGAGTTATACTTCTCTGCTTTTTACTCATAAAATGGTCTGGTAGAGAACAAAGACTATATTGTTGTTGTTGTTGCTACATTGCATTTATACCCCACACTTTATCCTCTTGTGAAGAGCCAAAGTAGCTTCCATACTGCCATTTTATTCTCACAATAGCAGCCCTGAGAGGTAGGATGAGTTGAGTCTGTAACTGGCCCAAAGTCACCTAATGAGTTCCATGACCAAATAAGAACTAGAATTGCACTTGAGTGATGTGGTTGGTCCCCAGTCCAACCACATCACACTGGCTCTTAACCATGCCTTTGTCCCTCGTTTGTTCTGTCTCTGTGTAAGATTTGAAACCCTGCTCAATTAGCACAAATACCAAGCCATGTGCTCATGAAGGCATAGATCTCTCCCCTCCTTCTCTGACACTAGCCCACTGAATTTCCATGCTGGATGGTGAAGAACAATGGAGGTGATGTGGAAAAGCACTCCTTTCCTATGCCACAACCATTTTTGCTTTCCATGCTGGAACATGTAGAAAGATACTTTGCCTTCTACACCTCAAAGAGGAAAAATACTCCATATCTTTGCCACCAATCTTCACAGTTTCTCTGCTGGCCAATCAAGATGAGTTCTGCCCAGCAGAAATGCAGTTAATATAGAAGGATAGCCTACAGTTTTTATACTGGATGAGTAGGTACCCTTATTTTCCTCTACATCGCACATACAAAAATACTGGGCTACCAAATAATGGGTCAGGTGCTTCATCCCTCACTCACTTAGGTAAATTTTCCAGTTGACTGTGCTGAGTGGGCAAGTGCTTAATAGCTCAGCATATTCATATTAATATAAACTAATTAATCCCATAAGAAATGTAGATGACAGAAGCAGGAGATTTGGTAAATTGTTACCAGTTTTTGTTTGATAGAAATATCTGGCTATGTATAAGCATATGCATTGCATTCCTGATTAGATTTTCTGTAGCATCCACATGGTCTTCAAACTGCTACAAAGAGGACTGGCCTTAACCTTATGAAGAGGGCAATAGAATCAATCATCTTTTTCTAGAGAACCAAATCACTCTCCTTACTATTTGGGGAAATTATGCAAGATCTTCAGTAGGCAAGAACAATGGTTCATTTCCTTACTGTGCCAGTAACAAAATATGCACAGCTTATAAATAGTCACCTCTTTCTCATGTGTGCTCTCACTCAATATCAGTGTTCTACAAATTATATAAATGTAGTGCATTGGCTGCTTAATTTTTTTAAATTGCGATTAACTTCTGTGGATGTATTTGTATGGCATTTTTCCCGCAACTGGCAAAACAAGCAATGTAGCACTGTAGGTACAGCACGAAATGTTACAACTTAGCAGGAAGAGACCCTAAAAGTAACATGTTTACTTCCTTAGAATGCTAGACACAGTCTTGATCCAAAAAAGAAACAGGAAAATCAATTTATTACTTGTTATAAACAGTGATCTAAAAAGTGCCTGATCTTGTAACAAGTGGTTGAACATGGTTGCAGGAAAAAGTCAGAAATATGTAATTACATGAAAGTGGGGACTATCCACTTTTCCTTTGAAGGTATAATACAAAAGCATATGTGTATACCTTAAGGTGGTGGAGCTTTCCAAACTACAGCACTCTTTCAGCACACAGAAAGATCCACTGGTGACACTACCATCAACGACATCTCCACCCAAGCACAAAATAGGTTTATCAATTGCAATATGGAATTTCAAAATCTGCCTGGTTCACCTGCTTGGTATGGGCATACAACCTCCTTATAACAGCATATCATCCCAAGATGATATCATTTAAACTGTGGATTTAGTTCCATGAAATGCAGCAATGGCTACACATTTTGACAACTCTAAAAGGGCTTCAGACAAATTCATGAAGACTGCCAAGGGCTACTAAGTCTGGTGGCAGGTGCTATTTCCAGTATCAGAGGCAGAATGTCTATGTACACCAAATACTGAGAAACATGAATGAGAGGGGGTGTTGCACACAGCTGACTGCCACTGTGTGAACAGAATGCTGGATGAAATGGACCTCTGCTCTCATCCAGCATGGCTCTTAGGTTCTTACCATTTTAAAACAAAGGATGCTTTTATAAAGCAGCACTGGCTCAAACTTCTGGTGAAATTTATTCCAGAGGAAAAAAATCAGTGGGGTTATATACTTGACCAGAACTTGTTTTCATGATGTTTTTCTTTAGGCTCAGCTGCCTAAGTATCGCTTGCCAGTTCAGCACCTATTCTTACATTTGCTCTCAAAGTATTCTGAGAGACAAAAGTGGTGTTGGACTGAGGACCTGGGAGAACTAGGTTCTAGCTCCCAGTTGGCCATGAACCTCACTAGGTGACACTGGGCCAGTCAACTCACTCTCAACCTAACCTACCTCACAGGGTGGCTGTTGTGAGTATAACATAGAATTATGTAAACCCCCTTTGGTTCCTGACAAAGGAAAAAAAGTGGAATATGAATGTAATGTAACAATAAAAATAATAATATAATATTTCTGAGTAGTTATGCATAGAATTCAATTGCATGAATTGAGAACTCAGTGCATCTCAAAATTTCATTTCTAGCTAGTTGATGTAGTGGTTCAGAGTGTGGGACTGGGACTCAGAACATCTGGGTTCTAGTCTCCACTCAGCCATGAAACTCACTCGATGACTTTCAGTCCAACCTATCTCACACCATTGTTGCTATGAGTATAAGACTGAGAGGAGGAAAAGAACTCTGTAAGCTAACTTAAGTTCCTTGGAAGGAAAAAAGGCAGGATATAAGTAAAAGAAATAAAAAAATAAAATGAGAATAGTTCTCCACCTGCATGCACATACACACACTATTTACTGAAACCTGCGTTCAGTGAAACTTCTGCATTTATACGCGTTTATACTCGAATCTTGGTTAGTGGCATAATCCAGCATGGGAAGTCTGAATTCAGCAAAATACCCCGTATTGACATCCGATCATTTACCCACTCATACGTACATATATGAACCTGCTTATTCCGAGACATACCATTGGCTCAAAAACGCAAAGGCGCCCAAAGACACTCAGCAGGGGACTTGGTCCCCTTCGTTAGTTAATAATTACTGGGCCAAGGAGGAAAGGTTTTGCCTCATCCCACCCCCTGCTCGTTTGCTGCGTTCCTCGAGAATAGAACCATGCTTGTCGTTCTTGCTTTCCACGCTGAGGGGGAGTCCCAGGCCAAGCAGCTCATCAGGCGCGCACAAGCAGGCACTCTGCTCCCGGTCGCAGGCTGGCGCCCGCCAGGGCCCCCTTGACAGCCCCAGGCTGGGCAGGAACGGGCCGCCCGCCCGCCCCTCGCCTTGCCCGCCCGCCCCTCGCCTTGCCCGCCACACGGATGAGACTGCAGGGCGCCTCCGACGCCATGCCGGGGCCCTGGCTGTCTCCCCGCTCCCGCTGCCACTCACCGAGCTGCCGTTCACCGTAAGCCCGCCGGGGTTCCGCTCCGAGCGGCCCCCTCTTCCTTCTCCCCACCTCGGCTGCTCCTTCCTCCTCAGCAGGAGCGCTGAAGAAGAGCTTCCGCTACGGCGCTCCCAAAACCGCTCTCGCGATGCCAGCTCGTAGCGAGAACGACACTTCCCCGAGCAGGCGCACGCGCCCACGGGCCGATGCTCGTGCGCGGTGGGAGAGGTAGCGCGCACGCGCAGCTTCGGGAGGCTTGAGCTCGGAGTGGACGCGGTTAGGAATTGCGGCTGTTTTGTTAAGCTTTGCTGCCAGACCTGAGGGAACGCTAGCCAGTTCGCGTTAGTAAGGACCACGTTCACTAGTATCTACGCTGACTGGCAGCAGCTATCCGGGTGTCTTTCCCGCAGAGGGTCATGGCCGGGAAAGACATCCATCGCAGAGGGTGAAAAGGCCCCCAGTTAACACTGAATGTTAAGGCAGCACTTAGCCCAGTTCTGTGAAAAGAGGTACCAGGTGAGGTTTTGGCTACTGACATCTTTTCTGCAGAATCTTCTAGCTCCCATTAGTAGGAGGGGAAAACAGCGAAAGAAGGAGGAGAAGAAGGAGGTTCCATTTCTAACAACTAGCATGCCCTTTCTACAATAATCGTAGGGAGTCTCCCTGATACGCAAATTTTCTTCTCCCTTTCCTTCGTATAGTCTATGTCAAATCTATGTAGATTGAATTATGTGGGGGGTTTTGCTTGTAAAACAAGACTGATTCATCTAGTCCTAGACCAACTTTCAGGGTACATTTAGTTCACACCAAGGAATGTGTAATTCAGGGTATAAATTTTATGTAAATATTTTCTGTGTGCATAAAGGTAGGCTTTATGACTTATTAATTGGGTCACCTGTAATTTCACAACCATCTCACTTTTCAGAATGCTCCTCTGCACAGAATTTTTGGAAGAAAATGTATGTAGTGTGAGATGAATTTACCCTGAGAGTTAGAATAGGATCAGATGACCTAATCTTGGTGGATGAGTATAAAAACACATTACTCTTTACCTGTATATATACGCTTTGGGGCCATGAGAGAAGGAAGATAAATTTTGTGTCCTGGGTTTTTTAATACTATTGCTGCCAGAATAACTTAAAATGAAAGGGCTATCTGGTTTGTTTAAAATATTTATTTGTTCTCCTGTCATGCTACACATATGATAGGTCCCTGCAAATACCCTAGAGAACTAAGATGGAAGTAGCAATAGCTTCTCCTGGCACTTCACAACTTTATGTTGAATGCACCACCACCCCCAAATTCTGCCCAGCACCTAGTTTAGTATATTGGATTGGGGTATGGGTGGTGGCCAAGCTGTGGAGACAGGCAGCTCTCAAACTAGTGATGAAAAGAGAAGCTGCAAATAAAAAGATTGTAGCAGCTGCACATAAGATACTTCTTGCAGGCCCTCAGATCTGATACTGACACTGCCTTGGATATTCTGTATAAAAGTGCATACTGTACCACTGAATTTCAGCCCTTTCCTGTTTTTTTACATGTGTTAGTTTCAGTCTGTTTTGGTGTAGTTCCAAAAGACTATTCAGCTATCTTTTTAAAAAGTAATATTCATTGCAGCACAATTTTGGAGTCTTTATAAACATCAGGCAGGTATAATTCCAAATTTATCCTTCATACTCGTATACCCATTTTCAATTATTTAGTATATATTTGACCTTAGAATATTTTTCAGAACATATTTATGTTCAGTTTCATAGCCTGGGTATGTTTCCACAAACCTATATTTTACACATAGATATGCAAACATTGCTCCTGTGTTTAGCAATGTTACAGCAAACATGTCACATTAATGTGCTACAACAAATACCTTTAAAGGGAGCCCAGCACAAAGAGCGTGATGTGCATACTCTCCACATTGGAAAATGTCCAGTTAAGAATCCCTACCAAAAACAACTCCTTCCTGGTTTGGCTAAGACCCTGTTTCCTGCTTTTGTGAGAGTTGGCAACCTTATCATGAAATGTGCCATTATCACAATGGTGCTGGAGTATTTCTTTGAAAGGCAAATATTTAATTGACCCTGATCAAAACTCAGCTTCAGCAATAACTTGATTACTGCACTCAGATTCCAGTTGATACCTAACACCAATTCATGGGTAATTTCATCCATATATTGTTGGGTGTCAGTAGAAGCACTGCTTCCTGTGTACATATCACTTCCAATTTTAATCAATAATCCACAATTGGCCAGATTAGATTGTTGATAATGATTGTAAACTTGGAACACTTGGTTTGAAGGAGCTAATAAACTCTGCAGCTAAACCTCTATTGAACTATGGATTAACCACTGGTTTGTTTAGCACCCAAACAACCCAGTGTGCCAGAATTACAAGGCCTACAACCAACTTTATTATAGGTTTTTGATTAAAAGAAGAAATTAGGAGCATGTAAGAGCCAGTACACTCTTATTCCTGCTTGTGTATAGCAAATCATGGTTTAATTAATCAAGTAGACTGAGCCTAAATCTTAGAGCAATAATTGTATATTCCTCAAAGCTTTTCTCAGTGACTTTGAAAAAGCCATGATACCAAATCTTGATTCTTTCAGAACCAGACCTGAATTGTAAAGCAGTGATTTTAACTGTAAAGATAGTCCATTTGTAACTGTAAATTGTAACTAAAGCTAATCCATTTGCCAACCCAGTTTAGAAAAAATGAGTTTGGGAATGAGCCTATCTTCAGAACAAGTTCTAAAGCAATAACAAGTTAAACTGGCTGTTAAAAATGGAGACTTGCCTATTACATACTGTTGTTAAATTGAGAAAATATAATTATGAGAATTATGGACTATGGTAACACCACATTTCAAACCCAAACCCAGAGCTTAGTTAATTCGCTAGACTCTTACTTCACTGGGTATTTTGCTTCCTCTTAATAGAGGCAGCAAATGATACGTAACCATAGGCAGTGCAATCTATATAGAGCCAGTATGGTGTAGTGATTAGAATGTTGGACTAGGGCTCAGGAGATCTGGATTCTAGCCCCCACATAGCCATGAGGCTCACTGGGAGACTATGGGTCAGTCACTGACTCACAGCTTAAGCTATTTCACAGGGTTGTTGTGAGGAAAATATAAAAAAGATTATGTAAAATGCCTTGGGTTCCTCCCAAATAATAATGTTTACTTAAAAATAAATCCCATTGTGTTGGAGGAGGATTGCTCACTGTTAAGAGTGTTTAGCAAGGGTTTTCTTTTCTTTTTATATTATATTTACCACATTCGCTATCTATGTTAGATAGCATAGATAGCTTTAGCAGCTGTATAATGTCAGAAATTAGGAGGTTTAATAATATTCTAAAATGTGGCAGTTGTAGCAGGTGATGTCTGCTGAAAAGTTAAGCCTGGCCTTAAATTTTTGGGGGTGCACAGACCAATTATTAAATGACCACTGCTTGGTTATTCACCCAGAACAGAAAACAATAAGCAAACAACAACAACAGTCAGACTCACTTTTTCTTTGATTCAGACTATGAATTTCTGGCATGGTTTTAGAAAACATAGTATCAAAAGACTTAATCCCCTTTCAGTTGTAGTCTGAGCAAGGCTGCCAATTTCTTTCTGAATTGAGTCAAATTAGTACAGTGGTACCTTGGCTCACGAACTTAATCCGTTCCAGGACTCCGGTCATGACCCAAATTGGTCGTGAGCCAAGTTAAATTTCCCCATAAGGTTCAGTGTAAATAAGGTTAATCCGTTCTGTAACCATTTTTTAAATCAGAAAAATGTGAAGCAAAGTGACAACAACAAAGATCACGGCCATCTCCCCCGCACCCCAAGCACAAGCGCGGCCGTCTCCCCGCAGCCCCCCAGCCCGACTGAGATCGCGCCTGTCATCCCTGCATGTGCCTGTCATCCCTGCAGGCACCCGTCATCCCGGCGTGCTGTGGGGAGAGATGGGTGTGATTGTGGGCACACTGGGGGAGGGAGAGATGGGCGCAAACGGTGCGCTGGGGTGGGGAGATGGCCTCGATCAAGTTCCGTTCGTGCAGGAAAGGGGTACCTGATCAGAGGTGCGCTCCTGCAAGAAAGACAGGCAGAATCTCAGTCATCTCCCCCTGGCTCTGCTTTGCTGCCACTGTCTTTCCTGCGGCCGCTGCCTCTGATCATGGACGCCTTCCGTGCATGAAAGCAACTGCGATCCGTGAACAGAGGAGCACGGCTGCACAAATGACAAGCGGATTCTCAGCAATCTCCCCTGTGGCTCTGCTTTGCTGCACCTGTCTTTAGTGCAGCAGCATGTCTCTGATCATGGACGCCTTCCCTGCACGAACGGAACTGCGATTGTGGCCATATCCCCACGGGGGTGGGGGGGGGTGGGGGTGGAGATGGCTGTGATCTTGGTCACCACCCAAACCAGTATTTGCGACCCAAGTAAAAATTTTTCAGTAATTTTTGTTCGTGAACCGATTTGTTTGTGAGCGAAGGCGTTCATGAACCGAGGTACCACTGTACTGATACTTCCTTTTAGGTTTCACTGAAATATCTTGTAAAAGAAGCCAATGGAATGGTAATTCAGGTTGCAATCATAAACATACTAAGGATGAAGTCCAACTGAACACTCGGTCTTAATTCCAAGTAAACATGAGTAGGGTTCTGTGATATGACTCTTTAAAAGCTTGTGACCTGACAATACTGCCTGGCAACAATTACTCATATTTACTCATGAGTAACTACATTCATTTCCAGTAAGACTGCTGGAAAATCTAGAAACGTAAGAATTGGGAAGAACTTAGTGATTATAAAGTCTAGCTGCCACAACATGAAACAGTTCATGCACTGGCCCTCTAAGTATCTTATGAAAGTACTTTTGGAGAGTATGCTCTCTCTACTTTCCCAAAGGGTTAGAAGTTACAGGGATGCAGTGCTTACCTTCCAGATTCTATCATCTTTCACAGGGCAGGGGAAAGACTGTTGTTCCCCATCAGAAGTCTTGTGCTTTCCGATGGAATGCTTTTAGTGCTGCCATTCAAAAGCACTGTGGAGCTATTCCAACTTTCCCTCCTTATAGATTTTTTCTGGCAAGAGCAAGTGGGAAGAAGTGGTGGAAAAACACAGACAGGTTATAAAAAGAGCACAATATTGTCTGGAAGCCCCATACAG